TCATGATTTATAAGCCTTTTAATGCGGTGTTGGTTTTGGTTTGCTAGTATTTTGTTGAGAATTTTTCCATGTTCATCAGGGATACTGGCCTATACTACTCTTTTTTTGGTAGTGTCTTTTTCTGGTTTTGGTGTCTAAATAAAGCTGGCCTCAAAAAATATTCAGGAGCCCTCCCTCTTCAATTTTTGGGGAATAGTTGGAGAAGGATACATATTTTTTTAAAGGTTTGATAGAATTCACCCATGAAGCCAACTGGTCCTGGGCTTTGAGTTATTCAGAGTTTTTTTTTTTATTACTACTATTTCAATCTCATTACTAGTATAGGTCTGTTCAGAGTTCCTGTTTCTTCCTGGTTTAGTCTGGAAGATTGTATGTTTCTAAAAATTTGTCCATTTCTTGTAGATTGTCCAATCTCTTGACCTAATTACTCACAGTATTCTTTTTTGTTGTTTGTCTAAGTATGACAAGTCCACTATTTGCTATAATAGTGGTAGACATAGGGCCAGAAGTTCATACTCATACAAATGTAAAAACGACCACAACTTACACATACTTTATTTATTCGGTTGATCACCTTCTTATGACGCATACAATGTTTTACATTGTTGATCTCTGTTCATGCTGACCTCTGTGAGTTGTGTTGGGTTTTATGTGCAAGTCTGCTCCATTGCTGCTGTTGCCATTGGTTTGTTTTCTTTCAGGATCAAGGTAGGTACTTTCATATAATATCCTGTTTTTAATTCCTTCTCTGGATTCTTAGCTTTACATAATTATACCCACTGGAACCAGCATCCTCAGGTCACCAAGATAAATCCTCCAACTCCAACATCATATGATCTTCTGATTCTACTAGTTAACAAAAAATGTCCAAGGCCAGCCATCATAGTTCCTTATAAACCATAGAATACTGAGTCCCAGGCACAGGGAATATTCTCAATATCTAAAACTCCTAGGAGTTTAAAAGGCTTCCCCTTCCTGGGCTCACAGCTAGGCAGCCAGGGGGACAAGCCGGTGCCTCCACCCGTGCCCTGCCTGCACTGAGGCTGCCTTCCTGGTATTCTTCAATGATCCTCTGCAATTCCACGGTATATTAGTTGTAATCTCTCCTCTTTCATTTCTGATTTTATTTACTTGAGCTTTTTTTTTTTCTTGATGAGTCTTGCTAGAGGTTTGTCAATTTTATTTATCCTTTCAAAGAGCCAGCTCTTCATTTATCTTTTTTATAGTTTTTTTTAGTCTGTATTTTGTTTATTTCCACTCTGATCTTCATGATTTCCCTCCTTTACTTACTTTGGGTTTTGTTTGTTCTTCTTTCTATTTCCTTTAGGTGTAAAGTTAGATATATTTGGGATTTTTCCTACTTCTTGGGGTACGTCTGCATAGCTATCTATGAACTTTCCTTTTATAATTGCTTTTGCTTCATTCCACAAGTTTTGAAAAGTTGTGTTTACATTTTCATTTGTCTCAAAGTAGTTTTTGATGTCCTCTGATCCAATGGTTGTTTAGTAGCATACTGTTTAGCCTCCATGTTGTTTTTCCAGTTTTCTTCCTGTAGTTGGTTGCTAGTGTCATGCCATTCTGATCAGAAAATATGCTTGATAAAATTTCAATCTTCCTGAATTTATTTAGGCTTCTTTTGTGGCCTAATGTTGTCTATTCTGAAAAATGTATATTAAATCAATCTGTTCTAATGTGACATTTAAGGCCATTATTTTCTTTCTTTTCTTTTCATCCTCACCCGAGGACATTTTTCCATTTTTTGTTCAGATAGAGTGGGAAGGAGAGAAAGGGAGGAAGAGAGGGATAAAAGGAGGGAGGGAGAGGGAGAGGGAGAGGGAGGGGGAGAGGGAGAGGGAGAGAGAGAGAGAGAGAGAGAGAGAGAGAGAGAGAGAGAGAAACATCGATGTGAAAGGGACACATCGAGTTACTGCCTCCCGCAGGGCCCAACCAGGGCCAGGGACAAACTGCCACCGAGGTACGTGCCCTTAGCGTGAACTGAACCCGGGTCTCTCTGGACCGCAGGCCGATGCTCTAACTGCTGAGCCAAACTGGCCAGGGCAAGGCCATTATTTTCTTATTAATTTTGTCTGGATGAGCTATCCATTGAGGTAAATGGAGTATTAAAGTTCCCGACTATTGTGTTACTGTTCATTTCTGCCTCTCTGTCCATTTATATTTGCTTTATAGAGTTGGGTGCTCCTATGTTGGGTGTGTAGATATTTATGATTGTTATATTCTCTTCTTGGATTGACTCCTTTATCATTATGTAATGTCTTCGTCTCTTTTTACATTCTTTGTTTTAAAGCCTATATTGTCTGATATGAGTATTGCTACTCCGGCTTTATTTTCATTTCTATTTGTAGGAGTATCTTTTTCCATCCCTTCACTTTCAGTCTGTGTGTTTCAATCTAAAGTCTTTTGTAGGCAGCACAAAGATGTCTCATTTTTTTAAAGATGTTTTGTTTTTTTTAAAAACCTATCCTGCTACACTATGACTTTTGATGGGAGAATTGTCCGTTTACATTTAAAGTAATTATTGATAGGTATGTACTTATTGCCATTTTGTTAATTGTTTTTTTTTGGTTGTTTTTATTCTTCTCTTGATCTCTTTTGCTTTGCTGGTTTCCATTAGAGTTTTTTTTAGGTTCTTTTCTATTTTTTTGGTGTATTTTTGTTTGTTGTTACCATGAAATTCATATATATCCAACTATTTCTCTAGCAGTCTATTTTAAGCCAATAGGCATTTAAATTCAAAACATTCTAAAAGGACTACATTTTAATCCCCCCCTTTATTTTTGATGTCATATTTTATATCTTTTTGTTTTGAGTAGCTCCTGATTATTTATTATATAGTTAATTCTGGTATTTTTGTCTTTTAATTTTCATATGAGATTTTTGAGTGGCTGATTCACTGTGTTAATGCTATATATGCCTTTACCTGTGGTTTTTTTCCCCATGTATTTTCTTATTTTTGGCATGGCCTTTTCTTTTCTGCATAAGACTGCTTAACATTTCTTATAAGGTCTGTATAGTGGTGATGAACTTCTTTAGTTTTTGCTTATCTGGGAAACTCTTTATCTTTCCTTCAATTCTGAATGATAACCTTGTCAGGTATAATATACTAGATTGTAGGTTCCTTTCTCCCAGCACTCTAAATATTTCCTGCCACTCCTGTCTGGCTTGTAAAGTTGCTGCTGAGAAATCAACTGATAGCCTTTTGGGGTTTCCTTTGTATGTAATTCAAAGGAAATTGTTTCCCCCTTGCTTCCTTCAAGATTGTATTTTTATGTTTAACTTTTGCCATTTAATTACAGTATATCTTGGTCGTGGGCCTCTTTGGGTTCATCTTGTTTGGAATTCTCTGACGTGGATATCTATTTCCTTCCCTAGATTACAAAAGTTTTCAGCCATTATTTCTTCAAATGTACTTTCTGCCCCTTTTTCTCTTCTCCTTCTGGGATCCCTATAATGTGAATGTTAGTGTGCTTGATGTTGTCCCTCAGGGCCCTCACGCTATCCTCATTTTCTTACATTCTTTTTTCTTTTTGTTATGATTGGGTGATTTCCACTATTCTTCCAGGTTGCTGTTCCATTCTTCTGTATTAACCAATCTGTTATCAATTCCTTCTAGTGTGTTTTTCATTTCAGTTATTCTTCATCTGATTGGTTCTTCATTACATTTTCTAACTTTTTTTTTTAATCCTCACCCGAGAACATTTTTTCGTTTTTTTGTTCAGATAGAGTGGGTGGGGGAGAGAGAGAGAGAAACATCGACATGAAAGGGACACATTGAGTGGCTGCCACCCACACAACCCAACCAGGGCCAGGGACAAACTGCAACCAATGTACATGCCCTTAGTCTCTCTGGACTGCAGGTCGAAGCTCTAACCGCTGAGCCAAACCGGCCAGGGCCATTTTCTAACTTTTCTGAACTTCTCTCTGAGTTCCTCTATTCTACTTCCAAGTTTACTGAGCATCCTATGACAGTTTCTTTGAATTCTCTGTCAGGCAAATTATCTCTATTCCATTCGTTTTTCTGTTGTTCCTTCATTTTGTTTGATGTTCTGTATTTGTTCCTATGAATTAGGTGAAATAGCTCTTTACCAGTCTTGAAATATTGGTCTTATAGAAAGTGGAGTCTGTGTAGACCGGGTGGTTTTGGCAGGCTGACTGGAGTTGAGTCAGGCACATGTGGTGCCTAGGGTGCCACCTGGCCAGAAGGAGCAGGTGGGGTGGAGCAGCATGGTGTCCATGTGGTAGTTCCACTATTTTGGCTGTCCACAGCCAGACCTGCGTGCACTGTAGAGCTGGTTCTACCCTTCATACTGGTGGGACTGCCTGGTTATGCAGGAGGCACACACTGTTGTTCTGACTGCTGCTGGAGCTGGTCTGGGGGTATCTGACCATGGGCACTGCAGCACTCTGCTGGCTCTCTCCTACTCCAGGCATGGCTTCCTGATGTGCACAGCTCACCCTGCTGTTTTGTGACTGCTGCCAGTCTGGGCTGTCCTCTAAGCACGCACTGCAGCACTCTGCCAGCTCCCTCCGACTCTGGTGGGGCTCCCTCTGTGTGAATGTGCACGGCTCACTCTGCTGTCCGATAGTTGCTGGTCTACACAGCTCCACAAGTGCATGCTGTAGCATTTTGCTGGTTCCCTCTTACTCTGGGTGGGGCCCCTGTCTGTGCACTCACAAGCCATGTGCTGTTGCTTTGACTGACCGCCATGGAGGTATGAGCTGGACCGCCCCCTAGGCAGAAGCATAGTGATGCCCTGCTGAGTCCCTTTCACTCCAGGTGAGGCTGCCCAGCACACATGTACACTGTGGTTCCGCTCTGGGCGGGGCAGCCCAGTGGGTATGGGCAGCAGTGGCTGAGCCTCAGTGCCCTGTTGGGCCCAGTGGATCTACCGCCAGATTGGTGGTGGGGGTAGGGGGGCGGTGCATGCTTGCTAAGTGGGTGGGGGGCACCCTCTTCCTGCTGGAGCTAGTTCTTGGGGGGGGGTGACTGGGGATACTGCTGTGGCCTTGCAGGTTGGCCAGAGCACCTGGGGAGAGCTCTCACCAAGTGTAAGGAACATGCAAATATGATGCTCACCCGCTCCTCTGATCCTAGTGGGTTCCCTCAGATTCTGAGCTCCTGTAGGTGGCCTCTCCCTCTCTTCTTTGTTGTGCAGAAGCTGTCCGGTGGTCCCTTAGTTGTCTCAGAGACCACCACTCTAAATATAGATGTGCATTCGGTGTGTTCATGGAGGGGACAAGCTCCATGTCCTCTTACACTGCCATCTGGACCTGCCCAAACTCAGGCAACTTAAGTGACTTCCCCAAAGTAACCCAATAATTCTAGGACGCTTATCTCAGACCCCATCACAGAACAGCTCCAGGCACTGGAATATACGTCCCCCACCCTGGGGTGGACCCAGGGGACCCGTACAGCCACATTGCAGTTTACGATCACAATCTGCACCCAGGGGAAAGGAAAGTCGTGCGTGTGTGCAGAGAGTGGCCTGTATGTTCAACAGCCTACGGAAGAGCACGCACTTCTGTGAGGTCAAGGTCCAGGGCTAAGGAAATCTGCCAGGGCAGGAAAACCAGATAGTGGGGGGCACCTTTCTACACGGGATGAAACACACACCATCCCCACCTCACAAACACCATAAGAACACTAAGATGTGTTATAGACAAATAAGGAAAGCTATCCACTTTAGTTGTGATTTGACCTGATTTATACACCACACTCACCAGCCTGTGGCTCCATCAGAATGCCAGGCACAGTACCCTTGGCTGAGAAGCCTTTCAGGGACGTCACCTACCCACTTGGAAGGAGCCCTGTGAGGGCCTGGGATGGCGAAGCTGTCGCTCTCTGGATGATGACCAGAGCCAGCTTCTCCTGGGCCACCCTGGTGTCACCATCTCGGTTCTAAGCTCATGGCCCTAGACTGAGGGGAAAAATGTCTTTCCCAATTCACAGACAACCTCTTTTTCTTGTTAACACTGTGCCACAGAGAGATGCTGCAGGTGAGTTCTAAGCACAGCAAGCATGTAACTTTTGCATAGGAAATACAACGTGGGAAGGGGTCCCACCAGTCTGCCCGTGCCACCAGGGCTCAGCTCCCAGGGACGACGGCCTCGCTCCCAGCACGGGGAAGAAGTCCAGCCCTCGTGCCACCAGTGCTCCAGGTCACCTGTCAGTCGGTTGTTCCTGACGATGCCGCCAGGAGTCGCTGACTGACCGACAAGTGGGAGGCGACAGAGCGGAAGGACAGGACATGGTGAAAGGGCCCATTAGGCAGAGAAGCGTCAGAACAACAGAAGCGGTGGTCTTGTCCACCGACAGAAAACTAGGAGCTCTGGGGACTCAATTCAGTCAGCAGGTACAGTACTGAAGATTTTGGTAAACAAAACAGAAATAACAAAGGGTTTCGAAAGCAGGTAACTATTCTCTTTTCTAATTCGGGACTGAGCGTTTCTATGCCGAGTCCACGATGCGGGTCTGTGCAGCCACGTGGAGTCTGGGACGTCCCCTCCCGAGGATCCCCGGTACGCTCGGCTCAGTACCGGTGACTCGGCGGTAACAAAGTGATGGCAGCCAGACCCTGCTCAGCACCACACGTCTCCCAGGCGGACCTCAGTCCTTCTTGTCCTCCTTCCGAGGCTGGCTTCTTGCGATCCCCAGGCTGGACCACACCTCTGTGTACATGAGGGTCCCAATGAAGACAAACAGGGTGCCCAGCCAGTGCCACCGAGTGAACGGGTTCTGGAAGTACCAGATGGAGACGAGGAGGCTCACAAACTTGCGCAGGGTCACGACGAGGGTGACGGTGAGGGAGGTGCACTCTGTGGTGAGGATGAAGACGCCGCGGATGCACACGTACCTGGGCAGGGTTAAGGCGGCACAGACACTGAGGGCGGCTGGGTGGGCCTTCCGCGCGGTCCTGAGCGCCAGGGGCCCTGGGGTGGGCTGCGGCTGCTCGAGGCCCCGGCAGAACCTTCTGCAGAGCCCCTGCCCTGCCGTTCCACTCGCGGAGCCCAGCTAACTCTGCCCAACACTTCCCGTCTCCGGGTCCTTCCTGCAGTTCGCAGGGAAGGTCGTCACGCCCACCTGTGTCACCCGGTCCCCAGGCTTCTACCCTGTCTCCACAGAGGAAGTCTGCGGGGCACATCTATGAGGTCAATCTCAGTCTGTCGCAAAGACTTTTCAGTCTTTATAACGGACTTAAGGTCGTTCAAAAGCAGCATATTTTTTTTTAAGTTTTAACTAATTTGAAATTTCTTTCAGAATTGTGTGGCAGCCTGTGAAATGTCCCGATACTGGAAAACCCCAGGGAGAAATCTCAGAACATGCATGTCATATGCTAATTCTTGATTATCCACTGGCTCTTACACTGCGACCACTGTCATCTCTCTGGCCCGCCACAAGGCGCTCACGGGATGGGTCTCTCTCCTGCTAGTGCAGAGCAGATCAAAGCAGAAATGAGACGCATGTCGCACGTCCCCGCACTGAGAGGAATAAACATGCCTGTGCCAGAATAACCCAGACAAGACCCCACGGCAGAGGGGTGCGAAGGATACTGAGTGACGACATTCATGAGCAGGTAGAACCACATGATGGGCACGGACACACCAGCGACTGGAACTTGATATAACTCTGCAAAGATTAAGAGGGGAGATCGCTGTATCACTTTTGACAGCTGAAGTTTTCATCTCTTTGGACAAGAATACAGACGGAACATGATGGAGACCGCAATGTGATTTCCCTGGCAAGCAGGTAGGGACCAGACACCAGCTGACCTGCCTTGATTCCAGGCCGTATCAGCCTCCACTCATTCCATTGCTTTCTTAAAACAAATGACAATTTATCTCAATTTTAAAATAAACTCTTTACCATTCACCTGAATAGGACCCCACCTGACAGAGAGAGAAAGGCTGTGAAGCACAGAGAAGGTCAAATGAGATGGTCTTAACTGACAGTCAACACAAGAGGAAAGACAACCAGTGAGTAAATACCATTTGCAAATACTGTCAATCCTACTAGTAATCAGGGAATTCTAAATTAAACTAGGCTGTAGCATTTCGTATCTATTAAATTAGCAATTAAAATGTACAAATAATATTCTAATCTGCCAAGGTAAGAGTGATACCCATTCTTAGGAATCAATCTTAGATAATTCAGAAGAGGGTTCTTCATTCACTGTAGTTAACTACAATAAGAAAAAACTCTGAATTGATCTAAATGTCCAATGACAGACCAATGACTATGTAAACAAAGGTGCTTTGACTAGATGAGGCATTTTACGTACATGCTATTTAAAAGATCATAAGCATTATATATAGTCACAAAAATTCAAAATGAAAGTGAAAAAGAAAGTATAGAATTACATCCACACAAGGATTACAACGGAAGGAAACTGGTTAAATGAAATTAGCTGATGTGCAGGGTGATGGCCTTTAACTTTTCTTCTTTTAAACACATGCTTATGTTAGTTTTATATAATGAGGCTTGCACAGTAAATATTTGGGAGGAAACAAAGTACCCAAGATTAAGGAGAATAAGGACATAGTAATCAGGGGTCATTTCTTTTATATTGCTAATCTGTTTTTGGAGTTTGAAATACACAGCATAGCCTTGGTTGGTTTGGCTTAGCAGTTTCAGCGTCAGCCCGCAGACCAAAGAATCATGGGTTCGATTCCAGTCTAGGGCATGTACCTCAGTTGCAGTTCGGTCTCCGGCCCTGGTTGGGGTCATGTGGGAGGCAACCAGTCTATGTCTCTCTCTCAAACTGTTGTTTCTCTCTCCCCCTCCCTTTCTATTTGAAGATAAATGGAAAAATATCCTTGGGTGAGGATTTTAAAAAGAAAGAAAGATACAGCATAACTTAGGAAATTCTAACAAGGGGATGCTGAAATCTGGTTAGGAAAATATTATTAATTTTCTTTTGCAAAAAATAAAAAGTCACGTAGATAAAGAGATAATTTCTTAGAACTGTGTGTCTGGACTTGTGGGAAATCCCAATAATCTGGTATTCTATTGTCTTTGAAACACTTAGCAAGTATTGAAACAAAAAGAAAGTTAAGATGTTATTACTGTTAAATAACTTCAGAGATCCACTGTATCAATTTTCTGAGGAGAGACGTAATTGATATGGCGTAAAATATTTAATGGATATTTGGCTCTCTTAGAAAAATAAAAAATAATAGATTCGAGACACTAAAACTCAAAAGGGAAAAAACATTTTTAAATTGGGGATGATTTTGAAAAAGTTAAAGGCAGATTCTAAAAAAAAAATTAATAATACCCAAAACTGCCACTTTTAGAAGCAGCATTCTAGTACTAAATCAAAATCAATCCTAAGGAATTTGATAGTGTGTTCATTTAAATAGCTCTTTGTTCTGTGGGGACTGTCAGAAACCGTAAAAACCATTGTGTCAAAAATCAGCTATATGTCAATTATATTTCAGTAAAAAAATCAGAAATGAGTAATTCAGAGCCTTAAACACTTTCTTACACACTACCTTCATGCATTTTGGGGGGACAGAATGAGAGAGGCCTCGGTGCAACCTCAGCAGTACAAGGTCACAACACATGCTCAGAGAACAAACATTTACTGAACATCTACTGCAAGTCTACAAAATACACTTTTTTTAATCCTCACCCGAGGATATTCTTCCATTTATTTTCAGACAGAGGGGGAGAGAGAAACATCAATGCAAAAGAGGCACATTGACTGGTTGCTGCCTGCATGACCTGACCAGGGCTGGGGACCAAACCGAGGTACGTGCCCTTGACCAGAATCGAACCCACGACTCTCTGGTCCACGGGCCAATGCTCTAACCACGGGGCAAAACGGCCAGGGCAAGCCTTATATTTTAAAAATGTTTATCTGTTCCTTGAGTGTTCATTTGTCCATATAACACTGTTTTTTTTGTTGTTGTTTTTTGTTTTTTTTTTATCCTCACCCAAGGACATTTTTCCATTTTTTGTTCAGATAGAGTGGGAGGGAGAGAGAAGAACAGACAGAGAGAGAGAAACATCGACGTGAAAGGGACACATCGAGTGGCTGCCTCCCGCATGACCCAACCAGGGCCGGGGACAAACTGCAACTGAGGTACATGCGTCTAGTGGGAACTGAACCCGGGTCTCTCTGGACCACAGGCCGATGCTCTAACCAATGAGCCACAGTAGCCAGGGCAACACTGTTTTTTAGTAGCTAATCAGATCATATAATTTCTTTCAAGTAAACTAGCAATTTATAGCTAAACAATCACCTTAAAAAGTAACAGCTAACTTATGCCATAGACTTTTGCACTGATTTTGCTTATTCCTGCAGCCTACCTAACCTGTCTCTTGGGAGAAAAGCCCTGTCTTCATTTTCCCCAAGGTAGCGAGGCCTGGACCTACGTCTCCTGGCAGAAAGGGACGGACAGGCACAGAGACAGCCGGGCTGCCCACCTCGCCCATGGCTCCGACCTCTGCAGTGCCTTAGTACTATCTGTCTGCATTCGCAGAACATCAACCTTTCCACAGTCAAATGCCAACACCCTAATTCCAAAGCAAAACCGAAAATTTAAAGATGTTCTCTTACTTCACTTGCAAATCATTAGCTTTGCTGCTGGTGAGTGGCACTAGATTCCGGGAATGGGGACGGTCTCCAGTGGGCCAGACGGTGTGGGTAACAAAGCAGTGGTCAAGCCCAGAGGAAAACACGCTTTACCTCAGAAGCTGTCAGGCAATTCTACCGGGTGACCGCACTCACCAGACTTATTGAAAAGAACGGCATGGTCATAAATGTCAGAGGCCAAGAAGATGAATCCAGGAAGTGGAAGGGCATGCTGTGGGAAGAAATATTTCACACAAATTGAAATGCAAACACACTACAGAGTAATGTGAGTAGTTTTACATTGATCCAATGTTTTACAAGCTGTTTGACAAGCAAGAGCAAGAAAAGCAAGTTCCACTTACTAAGTTAAATGTAGCCAGTGCTTCTAACCACGTGGCCCTGTCTGGCACAGTAGCCCCACCGTGGTCATCACACGAAACAAAACCATGGAGCCCAGCACCCTTTCCCCAACAAAGGGAAATACACACTCGTTCTGCCCAAAGGGTCTGTTCCATTTCACTCATTTTAAGAACAGTTACGTAAATATAATGGCTTTAAAAATGATAAAGAATGTGAAGGCAGATTTCAGGGAGTTTAGAAAAATAGTAGAAAAAGAGATTGGAGGACAACAGCACATCGGGGGAAAAAGAAATGAAGACAAGAATACAAAGAGGCTGAAGAGGAAGAGGAAATAATAGGTAAGCAAAGATTAATGTACCTGACAACAGCCCACCACCACAATAATGTAATGAGGAATCACGGCTAATATGACTCAGCAGTTACTATGTGCCACCTACTGTTGTAAGAGAAAGGTGGGAGACAAACGGAATGTTTATTTTTTAAATTCCCAGCCACATAGTCTATCTCCAACTAAATGCATCAAATTGCTTGTCTGCAACTTCACTACAAAAAGTTGCCAGTGAAGGCATCCCTGAGGTGACCGAACCTGGAGAAGTATATCACCCCGACCTTGAGGGGCTATGCTGTGGACACCATCACCACAGGAGAGGGAGGAGGAAGAGCAAAGAAGAGCAAAGTTAGAGGAGGAGGCTCGAGACCAGCAGTTTAAACAAAGAAGCTGGAGTGTATATAATTGCTATTTAAACTGTCCATTAACTGGATAAAGCCCACCTGTGGGACTTACACCTGTCACCCGTCTTCCCCAACTGCCCAGATGCCTGTCTGCAGAGCTCCCCTTGGCATGCTGCTTTTGCAACCTAGTGTCCTTTTCCAGGTTTCCATACTGGTCTGAACCTGGTTTTATCTGCAGGAACACCGTGGGTGAAGGTTCCCTGTCTGTACGGTAGTTCCTGGCTAGCAGCCACGTGCATGTTGGCTGCGCATGACCACCTTGTGGGGAGAACCACACCCATTAGCTCAGAATGCACATCAGCCGCCTATGAAAGGCCCTTCAGCCTGTGGGGCCCGAAGCAGTTTCCTGGATGATAAACTGAGCCTTCAACTACACCAGAAGGGGGGCACAGTACATTGAAATCACGCATTATAGTAACAACTCGGTAATTTTGATCCTCCCCAGGTTCGAGAAACTGCTTACATTATAAAACAACGCCTCCTTGGAGTGTTTTCCAAACTGCTTGTACAGAGTCTCTTGGAAAATGCCCATCCTCGCTGACATCAGAAGAGCGAACGTCAGTGCGCCAATACCTGCGAAACAAAGGCGGGTTACAAGGGACCTGCACTTGCTCATTGCCGGAGGTTTTCTTAAAGAGCATTTATTATATAAATGTACTACAAATATTACAAACTAACTGTAGAATATGGACACAATTTTTAAAAGAAATAAAAACCATAATATTACCATCTAGTCCCTTTCTGTTTTCCACATCCTCTAAATACATGTATGCATATTTTATGCTAAGCCAGGACCACAATGAGTATACAGTTTTATAGTTGCTTTTTGCATGATCTTTTTCCTGGCTTTTCCTTCAGGTCACTCATTAAAATGTTTTCAAAAGTATGATTTTATGGCTACATATTACTCTATCATGTGGATGCATCATACTGGCATGTCTTATAATATGAGAACAGTTAGATTACTTCCAATTATTTCTTCATTAAAATCATTGTACATCCACATATATAAATCTTTCTTATTTTTTTATCCTCATCCTAGGACATTTTTGCATTTATCTTCAGATAGTGCGGAAGGGAGAGAGGGAGGAAGAGAGAGAGAAACATCGATGTGAGAGAGACACATCGACTGGCTGCCACCCACACGACCCCAACCGGGGCCGGGGGCAAACTGCAACCAAGGTACATGCCCTTAGCGGGAACCGAACCCTGTTGCGGGTCTCTCTGGACGCTCTAACTGCTGAGCCAAACTGGCCAGGGCCATAAATCTTTTTTTAAAATGTTGATTATTTCCTTTGGATAAAGTCTCATAAGTGTAATTACTGAGTCAAAAGTTGTAGACATTTTTTGCCCTGGCCGGTATGGCTCAGTGGTTAGCATGTCAGCCTGCAGACCAGAGAGTCCCGGGTTCAGTTCCCGCTAAGGGCACGTACCTCGGTTGCAGTTTATCCCTGGACCTGGTTGGTGTTGTGCAGGTGGCAGCCACTCGATGTGTCCCTTTCACATTGATGTTTCTCTCTCTCTCTCCTTCCCTCTCTCCCTTCTGCACTATCTGAAGATAAATGCAAAAATGTCCTCAGGTGAGGATAAAAAAAAAAAAAAAAAAAAAGTTGTGGACATTTTTAAAACTCAGTACATAATTTTTCCCCCAGAAAGGCTGTCAGTTGATACCGCAAACAGTTTATGTGAAAATGACTGTCCATGGCACCCTCAGCAGCCATGAGAATAATCCTTTATTATCTTACCAATTCAATAGGTCAAAAATAAAAAGGTATTGCATTTTGGTTGCAATTTGCATTTCTTTGATTATTAGACTAGTGAGGCTGAACTTGAAATTATTGGACATTAATTCCCCCACCCCCCGTGAATGGTATGTTGAAATCCTTTTTCTTATTGGGTAAAGTATTCTTCTAATAGCTCATAAAGATCTCTCTATGTTAAGACTAGCAATAGAGAGGGGGGCAGAGTTTCAAAGCCAAGCAGCAAGACAATAGAGTTCCTTCCCTGCTCTTTCCCTTTCGCTTGGTCAGTCTCAACCCGTTACTGCTGTCGCTGAACGCACTGGAAGGAGCGTCACCCTGTATCACACAATGTGAGGCTCAGGCTCTGCGGGCGTCTCATGACTTCCACAAAGAGAGATGACTGCCCAGAGGTTCTGCTGCGCAGTCAGGTTTGGGAACGCTGCCATATGGAACAGCGAACTTCTGAAGAAAATAAATCCCAGATTTAGAAATGGGTCCCTGGAAATTCAGAGTCCACGGCTGTAACGTGCCCGTCTTCTGAGGACGCCTGTACTCCGCACAGCCCGGGCAGAAACGGGCGGCACCACGCGCTGCTCCCAGAGTGTGCTGGCAACCCGGCGCGCACGCCTCTTCCCGGACCAGTGGCCACCAAGAGAAACGTGGTCCATGTCACAGAACACACTACCACCTGGACGTTTTCTTTTTGTCATTTCCTGAACACTACGGTTCTGAGATTTATGATCCCAGGTGCTTCTCTTCTGTGGCATAATTTGTTTAGCTGGAGCCTCTTGCCAAGAAACCCGTCCCCGAGGGGAAGGCTCTGCAAACAGAACAGCAGAGCAATTATCTTGATTGTAATCACCGTACTTGCCTAGTAACCACCACATAAATGCCTGGAATCCATCATTCTCACTCAGGCTGGACTGGGAAGTCTAGGAAACAAGAAGAAATATAGGTACAGAAATCAGAACTACATGCAACGGGCCTGGACACAAGGGAAATGTTTGTTACGCTTTCCTCCCCTCTTCTTTGCATCATTAATAAGTACCTGGTACCTGGGCCCCCAGGGCAAGCAGTGAATATAAATGATTTGGGAACCGATTCTTACCACCTGCTTAGCTGACATGGAAGTGCAAATAAATATCCCCACAGACACCAGGGCAATGGACGTGTATTTGAATACACTGTACCTGCAGAAGTAAGAACAAGAAGTTAGGAAAGCACAGACACCAATTTCCACGTGGTGTTTTCAGCTGGATGGCGCCTGAGAGGACCAATCACCAAAATCGATCGAGGGGGTCCCTTCCCAGCAGAGGCCCGTACGTCTGCATGTGAAAGATCAGGGGGTCGACTGGTTGCTACACACCCCCTTTCTTGGTGGTGTTTAAAATAGTTTCTAATAGTCTGTGGGCCAATAGATCGTTTCATCGGAAAATAAAAGACCAGGCATGACATTCTCTTGGTGACAGACACCAAGAACAGTCCTGAAACTTTCCATTGCGTCTTCTTGGCCATTTAGGCCTTTATTAGGACTTTTCTCTGTACTAAGTGATGAGTAGCCTTTAATGCATTATGTGGCACTGATGGACCCCTTCTATGACAGCACTGTCCCACATACCGTGAGGCTGGGCATGTTCCACACTGGGCTCTCGAACATGGTCACCACCAGGCTCACATGAGTACTTAAACTGTGACTAGTGAGACTGAGAAACTACATATTTAATTTTAAGTAATTTTTTTTTCTGACATTATTGTTTTTTATATCTTTATTGTTGAAAGGATTATAGATGCCCCCCCCCATTTTTCCCCATTGACTCCCTCCTCCCCCCTCCTGCTTTCCCCAAACTATTGTCAGTGTCCATTGGTTGTGCATATATGCATATAAGTTCTTCAGTTTATCTCTTCCCCTCCTCCCAACCCCCATCCCTCTGAGGTTTGTCAGTCTGTTCCCTACTTCAATGGCTCTGGATCTCATTTGATCTACGGCTTATTTTGTTCATGATATTCTATAAATAAGTGATTTTAAGTAATTTAAATGTTAAATGTAGTCACATGTGGTTAGTGATGACCACACAGAGACAGTCAAGTTCTAGATCCATTGGCTTCACAGGTTAATACGGAACTAAGGATTCAATGATGACAGGAGCGAATTCTACACAGAGAACATACTGCTTCAAAGCCACAGGTGGGATCTCTGACCTGGTCACCTGCTTCAGGAATGCACATCACTGTCACAGAGAGAATAAGAAACAAAGGCCAAGAGCAAACAACCTCCACTAGGAGAAAAGGAATCCACATGACTGGCTGATGGATGGGGCCCTGGATATGCTTCCCACACATAAATTATAAAAGTGCATTGTTTACCTTTTCTTCAAAATGACAATTCCCAGAATCATGTTGGCAATTAGAGAACCCTGCAAAAGGAGACAAGAATGTTTTAGTGCACTAAGGAAAGACAACATAATTTAAGGTGAATATGAACATGGACAAGAGGGCAGAACAGCTGGAAAGAAGGAGGTTAGGATGAATAGTTAAGGTCCAGGTGTTCTTATGATGGCAACAATTATAAACCATAAAACTCTATCTTGTAAAATAATAACACCTTTTAAAGATGACAATGAAAATAAAAATCCATTCTCAATAACCAGTCATACCTAGCTGAAGCTAGGACTAGCAGGAATAAATGATATTACAGACTTATTTTTGTCCAATTTTCCATCTAAGTTATAAGAGCTCTTACTAAGCTTCTCCACACGCCTGGTTATAATGAAAGAGGTCGTGCAGAGATCTCTCTCTTCTCTGAAAGGGTGTCTGTCAATCATCAGGTGCTTATTGAAAGTCTATTATGTGCTCGATGCTTTGAAGGTCATCTTAGTAATTATAATTAGCTCTCTAAAGTCCTTTTAGGAATAGCACATTCGATCTCACAAAAATCTCAGACCACATCAAAATGTTATCATTCCAATATGCACCCATTTTGTATTCTGCAATCCTAACTACATTGCCCTTGAAGTCTTTCCTGCCCTTCAGGGAAAACTGCTATTATTCATACACAAACTAACAGATCTCTCACCGTACATGAGGCAAAGAAAAAAACCTCTACTGCTTTGGGAGAAATATACCTCCATCAAGAATTTCCCTTTATTTAATTATCTCAAGTCTCTTCTTTAAAAAAAAACAACACAAAATCAGAAAGGAGAAGGGTCTGTTCCATTTACTAGAAGTAAATGTAATCTTATGGAAGAAAGAAACAAAAAATCAGAATTTAAATAACATTCATAGCAAGTTTGAATATAAAATCAACCAGATGAAGGAAATTAAAAGGTAAAATCTGTTTCTCAGGGAAATTTTAACTTTCCTTCTATTAATCACCCATAAAATCTCAGATGAATGAAGTAAACCGTCCACTGTCCCATTTCCATCTGTTTGCCTTACTTCTCGGATCACAGTCAGCCTCTGCCCACTCATCTAAACGTAACTTATTACAGGACCGTCCTTCTGCCGTGTTTCCTCGACCCCTCAGTACCCCCAGAACACCTCGGAGCGCCGGAGTACTCACAGATCGGAATATCATGTGCAGGGGCATGGCGATGTTGAGGTTCAGGGCGTAGTTGTTCACCACGCTGACGGTGAAGAACATGGTTACCATTGTGGCGTAGTATCTGGAATGCAGAGTGACAGCTTATCACACAGCACTGACTACTTCCAGAAAACCAAACACAGAAGGAAATACATATTTTTAGTTTAAAGCATTTTGCTTATTTCCTCTTTATTAAGATTATATCACTATTATAATTTGAACTCTAATAATAAGTACCTATACAAATACTTCACAAAAACAGACTAACATGGAAAAAGTTCAAATTATAGAGTATGTTTCAAGAAACACTATTTTAATATGTTTCAAGTATATATAGCAACTAAAAACGAGGCTTCAAAAAATGTTACCTAATAGACACCAATAGGTTTTTAAAAGTAAGTGGAGGTGACGTCAGCATCATGGCAGAGTGAGAAGGCTCCACTGTTTCTCCTCTTAAATTTGTAAGTCAGACAATTATAACTCAACAAAGGATCCCCTGCTCAACACACAAACAGGTGAGAGAGCCATGCATCAGGACATCAGAAGGTGGGCAGTTGGAATGAGTAGGGGAGGTGGGATGGGGAAGGACAGGAGGGGAGACGGGATGGGGAAGGACAGGAGGGGAGACGGGATGGGGAAGGACGGGAGGGGGGACGGGATGGGGGAAGGACGGGAGGGGAGACGGGATGGGGAAGGACGGGAGGGGAGACGGGATGGGGAAGGACGGGAGGGGAGACGGGATGGGGAAGGACAGGAGGGGAGACGGGATGGGGAAGGACAGGAGGGGAGACGGGATGGGGAAGGACAGGAGGGGAGACGGGATGGGGAAGGACAGGAGGGAAGACGGGATGGGGAAGGACGGGAGGGGAGACGGGATGGGGAAGGACGGGAGGGGAGACGGGATGGGGAAGGACGGGAGGGGAGACGGGATGGGGGAAGGACGGGAGGGGAGACGGGATGGGGAAGGACGGGAGGGGAGACGGGATGGGGAAGGACAGGAGGGGAGACGGGATGGGGAAGGACGGGAGGGGAGACGGGATGGGGGAAGGACGGGAGGGGAGACGGGATGGGGAAGGACGGGAGGGGAGACGGGATGGGGAAGGACGGGAGGGGAGACGGGATGGGGAAGGACAAGGACAGTGGCCACAGGCGCAGTCTGGTGCCCACCCTGGCTCCAGCAAGCAGTGAGCACAATAGCAGGGAAGTCTGGCTGCAGCCTTCACACTAAAACCTGGAGGGTAAGAGGGGCAGAAGCAGTTTCCTTCCTGGGAAAGGCATCTCCCTTCCATCCTCCCCATTGCAGCAGAGCTGGGTGGAGGTGGCTGGGAAGGCGTTACTGTAAGGGGGTAGGGCAGAGCCACAAGACTGTCAACTTGCCTCCTCTGCCTTATATACCCTAGCAGAGCCTGGTAAGGCCAAAAACACAGAGCAAAAATGCAGTTGCTCCAAGAGCTTGCAAAACCAGTTCTTCACCACCAGTCACATCCCCCAATCACAGTGGTCATGTCCTATAACTGAGGCAAGCTGGTCACAACATCTCAGTGGACACATGGCATTTTTCCTTAACTTAAGCCATGCCATTCCACCGTGATCCCAGAGGCATAAATAGTGCAAGTAAGACAAAACAAAAATATGTACTAAAACACCACTTATGGGAAAAGAAAGTAGTCTGCCTAATAACCTGCTGAATTGTTGAATGCAAAACAGAATCTAAACAAGAAAATGCTACTTCAAATGCACACAGAGAAACAATCCATTAAATACCATGAACAACCAAGATAACTTGAGAGCACAGAAAGAAAATAAAAAATGCCCAGAAACCAAACTCAAAGGCATGGAAGACTATGGTTTAGATGACAGAGAAGTCAAGATTACAGTTATGAAGGAACTCACTGATATACAAGAAAACTCAAAAAGGCTGGTCAATGAGCTCAGGAATAAAATTAATGAACAAAAGGAGTGTTTTACTAAACAGATTCAAACTATAAAAAGAAACAAATTCTAGAGCTGAAGAATTCAATAAATGAAATAAAGAATGCACCAGAGAGCACTGGAAACAGCAGACCAGATGGAAAAGAGAATTAGTGAACTTGACACTGGAAATCTAGAAATGACCCATGTGGAAGAAGAGAGAGAACAAAGAATTAAAATTTATAAAATGAAAGAGCTCTCTGACTACATTGGAAAGAGCAATCTAAGGATACTAGTATACCAGAACGAGAAAAGAGGGAGGAGGGAACAAAGATCCTACTTAAACAAGTCATTGCCCTGGCCATTATGGCTCAGCAGTGAGAGTGTCAACCCATGAAGCAGAGTCCCTGGTTCGATTCTGACCAAGGGCATGTGCCTCGGTTGTGGTTCATCCCTGGCCTCAGTTGGGTTATGTGGGTGGCAACCAATTGATGTGTCTCTGTCACATTGATGTTTCTCTCTCTCTTCTTCTCTCCCTCCCACCCTATCTGAAGATAAATGTAAAAACATCCTCAGGTAAGAATTAAAAAAGAAAGGCCCTGGCCGGTTTGGCTCAGCGGTTAGAGCGTCGGCCTGCGGTCCTGAGAGACCCGGGTTCGGTTCCCGCTAAGGGCATGTACCTCGGTTGCAGTTTGTCCCCGGCCCTGGTCGGTTGTGCGGGTGGCAGCCACTCGATGTGTCCCTTTCGCATCGATGTTTCTCTCTCTCTCTGTTCCTCTCTCTCCCTCCCACTCTACCTGAACAAAAAATGGAAAAATGTCCTCGGGTGAGGATAAAAAAAAAAGAATTAAAAAAGAAAGAAAGAATTGATGAGAACTTCCTAAGCCTATGTAAAAAACTAGACTTTAGAATAGAGGAAGCTAACAGAACACCTAATTATACCAATGCAAAAAGACCTTTTCCAAGGCTTGTTTTATTCAAACTGTCAAAAATTAATGACAAAGAAAAAGTTCTTAAGGCAGCCAGGGAACATAAAGACTAACCTACAAAGGAAACCCCATTAGATTATCATCATCCCCAGATTTTTCTGTAATGTTTTCAGTAAAAACATTACAAGACAGGAGAAAGTGAAAGAAAATATTCAAAATATTGAAAGAGGAACCATCATCAAAGAAGAAGATATTCAGCATAGTTATTCTTTAGACATTAAGCAGAAATAAAGGCTTCCCCAGACAAACAAAAACTGAGAGAATTTACCACCATAAGACATGCATACAAGAAATGTCGAAAGAAGCTCTTCTACTAGAAACAAAAACACAAAAGTATATACAACTTTGAATAAATGATTATTAGAATCAAACAAAATCTATTTCAGAATCATTAAATACTGAACTATAACATACAGGTCGAAGGGCATTAAAATAACAATTACTACTGTAATTTGGTAACAAATACACAACAAAAAGAGGGATAATTTGTGACAACAAAATCATAAAAGAGGAGGAGGAAAAGGGTTGACCAGGTACAGGTGAATGAAGAGGCAATCAGAAGAAAAGGACTGTTGTATGTGTGTATGAAACATTTTACACAATCCTAATGGTAACCACAAAACAAAAATCCAGAGCAGAGACAAGAAAAAGAAAATAGAGAAGAAAATAATAGAAAACTACCAAACAAAAATAGTAGGTAGAATTATAAGGGAACACAAACAATGGAGATACAGAGCAACAAGAAAACAAAAGATAAAATAGCTGTAGTAAGTCTTGATATATCATTAATCACCCTAATTATAAATGGACTGAATTCACAAGTCAAAAGGCACAAAGTAGAGGTATGGATTAAAAAACAAGACTCACTAACTATACATTGCCTGCAGGAGACTCAGCTCAATTACAAAGACAAACACAGGCTCAAAGTGAAGGGGCGAAGATGATACTTCAAACAAATGGCATCCAGAGAAAAGTGGGTGTAGCAATACTTATATCTGACAGCATAGATTTCAAGATAAAGAAAGGTAACAAAAGACAAAGACATTTTATAATGATAAAGCAGACAATTCATCAAGAAGACATAACACTTATTAATATATATGCACCCAACCTGGGAGTACCAAGATATATAAAGCAATTACTAACAGACCTAAAGGGAGAAACTGACAAAAATACAATTATAGTAGGGGACATGAATCCCTCATTGACAGCATTGAATAGATCATCCAGACAGAAAGTCAATAAGGAAATACTGGCCTTAAATGACACATTAGATCAAATGAACTTAATATTTATAGAACTTTCCAATCCAAAAATGACAGAATACACATTCCTTTCAAGTGAATGCAGAACATTCTCAAGGAGAGAGCATATGTTGGGTCACAAAACTAGTCTCAAATTTAAGAAGACTGAAATCATACCAAACATATTTTCTGACCACAACAGTATGAAACAAAATTACCTATAAGTAGAAATCTGGAAAAAACACAAATATGTGGAAATGAAACAACATGCCACTAAACGACAATTGGGTCAAAGAGAATTAAGAGAGCAAAAGATACATAAAGACAAATGAAAATAAAAATACAACATACCAAAATTTGGGGGATGAGAAAAAGCGGTACAGAAGGATAATTTTATAGCTTTACAGGCCTACCTCAAGAAACAAACAAACAAAAATCTCAAACAGCCCAGCCAGTGTGGCTCAGTGGTTGAGCATCGACCCATGCACCAAGAGGTCACTGGTTCGATTCCCGTTCAGGGCACATGCCCAGGTTATGGGCCCAATCCCCAGTGGGAGGCATGCAGAAGCGGCCAATTGATGTTCTCTCTCATCAATGTTTCTTACTCTCTCTCCGTTTCCCTTCCTCTCTCTAAATATCAATAAAGAAAAATTTTTAAAAAAAGCAAACAAGTTAGCATTACACATGTAAAAACTAGAAAGCCCAGCTAGTGTGGCTCAGTGGATTGGGCATCACCCCATGGACTGAGAGGTTCCAGTTGGATTCCTGGTCAAGGTACATGCCCGCGGTTGCAGGCTCGATCCCCAGTAGGGGGTGTGCAGGAGGAGGCAGCCGATCTATGTTTCTCTCTCATTGATGTTTCTGTCTCTTGCTCCCTCTCCCTTCCTCTCTAAAAATCAATAAAACATATAAAAAAAAAAAAAGTAAAAAATCCAAGA